TTAGGCGGTGGTGCTCGGTATTGGTGATGAGTGACGGTGGCTACGGGAAACTAGTGATCGAACGGCTATGTATTTGAAAATCATTAACTTTGTGCTATTTTGGAATATAACAGAAATGAATTAACGGTGAATTCCAAATACATCAATTGAATTATTTTGGATTTATTCTTCATCCACCAAAATACCATGAATTTTAAAATCACGATATTTATTTTATTTTACCCTCCAAGTTGAGCTCAATCAGGACATTTTCAAGCTAAAACCTTAAGCTAATATGTAAAGGGTGGCACTATTAGAGTAGGGTTTTTAATATAAAAATTAAAATTTTTGTACTTAAAAGCTGCTTTAAGAAGCAGTAAAAAAATCTTCTCAAACAAAACCTAAGTTGAGCCCAACATACTGGGTGGACCCTTATCAATGAAGCCAATATGCTAAGGAACTATATTCTAAACTTTAGTCTTATTTTCATTTCAATGCGCTAGTATTTTCAACTCTCTCACATGCATCTTCTCTACACTAATTAACGGTGAATTCCAAATACATCAATTGAATTATTTTGGATTTATTCTTCATCCACCAAAATACCACGAATTTTAAAATCACGATATTTATTTTATTTTACCCTTCAAGTTGAGCTCAATAAGGACATTTTCAAGCTAAAACCTTAAGCTAATATATAAAGGGTGGCACTATTAGAGTAGGTTTTTAATATAAAAATTAAAATTTTTGTACTTAAAAGCTGCTTTAAGAAGCAGTAAAAAAATCTTCTCAAACAAAACCTAAGTTGAGCCCAACATACTGGGTGGACCCTTATCAATGAAGCCAATATGCTAAGGAACTATATTCTAAACTTTAGTCTTATTTTCATTTCAATGCGCTAGTATTTTCAACTCTCTCACATGCATCTTCTCTACACTTATATTAAATTTCTTAATAAACTTCAATAGTTAAACATTGCTTTTGCTTGCTTGTGGTCTGTTCAATAACCCATCAATACTCCTTGTGAACAATGCCAATATATTACACATGGAACCTTATCATTTGCCTTTGTTTGCTTGCATGAGTAATCTTCCATTCCAATAAAACTTCAAATACATCTTTCTGTTGGATGAAAAGGATGGAACATATAAAGCGACAACAACACTAAAGCATTTTGTTTGACTGAGATTACTTCAATTAGACTCTACAATGATTTCCATGCTCAGTAAACAAATCATGAGATTGGAATCAGCCTATTCATTTCATGCTATGTACATTTACCAGCTGGTTTCCATAAAAATGTATTATCTGATTTTGATTTTGCTGCAATATAGCGCAACTATTCGGTAAAACTGTCCAGGGGTCCAGTAGCTTTATCATCATTTTAGTGGGGGGATTACTGATTAGCTTTGGAATGGATAAATGAAGCCTTTAGTTTAGAGCTATGTTGCACCGTTATGGATACGGCAACATGGATACGACATGATACATATACGGGACATGGATACGACATGATACAGATACGGGACACGTCAATTCTTAAAAATATAGGATACGGGTACGGCACGAATGCGGTATTATAATTTATAAATCATACATAAAAATTAAGAAATCAATCAAAGCATTATATTTGAAATTACAAAAAAAAAAAGTTACATCATTTGTAGCCTTGTAGCTTGTAATATCAAATTCAAAATAAAAGTAAGCATTAAATGTCTAGTACAATAACAAAAGCATAAACATAAATTGTCTAGCACATAATGTTCCAACTATTGAATAGAAGGAATGATATTATTAGCTTCTTCAATGGTTTGTCTTTGAACTTCTATATCATCTTCAATAAATATCATAGCTTCTAATTCAGAGTCATCAAGTGAAAGATTAGCATTTTCTAATACACTCATATCATCAAGAGACTCGAATCCATCTCGAAAATGAGAGAACCTCACTTGCAGCCGCAAAAGTAAATACGACGCATCTTTTTCTTAGGATTTTTTTTGTTTGTCAACAGACACGCGTGTCCTTTTGAAATTAAATAGTATTTTAATTTGTCGTATCCGACACGTATCGGTGCCATATCGGAGGAATATCCGTATATCGGTGTATCGGATACAACACGCCTTCATAAATAGGTGTATCGGTGCAACATAGGTTTAGAGTAAAAGCAACTAACTTGGGAAAAATATGAATTTGCCAGTTATTGGAGAATGACTCAGTTTTTGGTCAATTCTGCTTGTGTTTATCCATAATATATTTCTATCATTTTCTATCCTTTGCTGGATGAGGTTTTTTAGTCCTCTTCTGCATTCAAGTTGATCAACTGAGAAGGCTGGACTGTTCACCCAGTTGTTCAAGATGGCGACATGGATTTGAGCTGTTAGATTTGACTCCATCTTATCTATCAAAATGGATCTGATCGAAAGCGATTAAGCTTCAATCATCATTATATTTTGAAAAAGAAAATAGTAGCCCAGTTGTTACTGTTACTGTTACTGTTATACTAACAAATTCCTGCAGTGGTCCACAATGAAGGTAGAAAATGAGAATGAAGGAAGTGATGATTAAAGATGAGACTTACTGCTAATTCGTTGCATGCACAAGAAGGTAGCATGATTTCCACCATATATTATTCCTTTGTTGCTTTGCTTTGCTTTGGATGTCAATATTAAATGAGATGGTTGCTTTCTGAGTGGGGACAAAAGCGCTTCAATTGAATCATATGGGTTTGCAATAAAATATATCACCTCCAACAACCACACAAACCCTTACACTTGGCATCCTGACTAGAGGACCATTTGATGCAACCAACTACTTCAAAAATATGTATTAATGGAGAAGCCACAGTCAAAATTTTATAGTAAAAAAAAATAAAAAATTATCAGACTCAAAACTCTTTGAGTGCAGTGAATAAATATATGTCAAATGCTTAATCACTTGATCACCTATCATCAGGGGCAAAACCAACTATAATTTTTAGGGGTGGGTGTGCAAATTTATAAGTAACTGTTGGCATTTATGTCGGGGGTCCAAGGAGGCAAAGCCCACCTGGCGGGGTTCGACATGGGGGCAATTGCATTTTGTTCATCATTCCTTAACAATAACACATTTACACAATGTATTTAATTGTATTGGGGGCAATTGCCTAAAGATCTTAGTACTTTAACATTTTTTTTTGGGGGGGGGGGGGCAATTTCCTAAAAACCCTTGTAATAAAGACTAAAAAATAGATTGAAGGAGGACAAATTATCTAAATAATAGTATAATGTAAAAATAAATAAAAAATTTCAAGGGGGGCAATTGCCCCCCCCTAGCCTCAAAGGGGTTCCGCCCTAGCCTATCATAGATCATGGTTTAAGGTTTAGGGCACCCAATTGAGCTATTTTGGATTCAAACATATACCACGTCCGATTCCATTTGATTTTGGACCAATTTTACTAACCAAAAACATTATATTGATGGAGAGGGTTCATTCAATATTTTATAGATTAAGACTTCGTTTGGGATGGGGTCCATTCAAGATTTTATAGATTAAGATTTCGTTTGGGATGGCTTTTTTTTCTGCTTTTTAATACAAAAATTAATTTTTTTTACTAGGAAGCTGCTTTAAAAAGCAATAAGAAAGCCTTCCCATCCGTTTGGGGCAGCTTTCTTATTGCTTGTTAAAGTGTTTTTTTAGTGCAAAAAATAAAATTTTTCTACTAAAACGCCGCTATAAGAAGCAGTAAGAAAGCTGTCTCAAACGAAGCCTAAAACTCAACCATTCCCAAACCTACATGGTTGAGTACCCATTCAAAACTCAATTGTTCATCATAGATCATGAGAGACCTACAATCATTATCTAGCCCTCTTGACATTTTTATAGAGGACCACATTTTGAGAAAAGAAGTATAATTCCTCAAGTTTCATACGCCACAGCATACCAGATACAGTAGAAGTTGGTGAATTAAACTGCCAGACAACTTCCTGAATTCACCAAAATGAACCATACATGTAGAGGTTCTCTGAGAGCGACCTGAACATGGAGCATTTACTGACTTGTGACCAAACCAAGCTCTGTTCCTGCAATTCCTATCAAGCCTGGAGGATGAAGTTGATGTGCTGTCTATAATGGTTGGCTAAACCTTCCATCTTGACAGCCTGGTTACTGGTTTTCAGCTTAGGTGTTATTGTCACCGCCACAAACCCCACAAATTCCAAAGGACCACCAAATCAGCTCCACTTTTATACAAAAGATTAAGGTAGAAACAACAGTTTATGCCGAGGAATTATCGATCTAGAACTTCGCCGGTTCACGCAACATGGCCTCCTTCCTGTTTCCCTTTGCATCAATGATAGAAACAAAGAACAACAGAGGATAATCACAGACAGTTAATCTCCCACAATCAGTAATTCATTCCTGCTTATATTTTATAATGTTTGATTGTTTGATAGGAGAAATTAAAGGGTTTAGAAGCTGTATTTTGGGTTTTTTGCACCATTAGATGCTCTATGTTGGAAAGAATCTATTCATCCACCCTGTACACCAACGCATCTGCAGATATTTAATTTTTTTTCTTCAGTGAACTGTAAAGCAATGGAAGGTTGAAGTCCAGAACAGACTTTTCTGTGGTGGAACGAAATTCAAACTTGCCAACCTGGTGATTTTGATTCTATTGTTGTGACAACTAACTATTTGCCTTAACTTACCAACATTGGAGTACAGCTCGTTATGCCTGCTGGTAGAACAAATACTGGTGGTTGAAAACGGTGTACATATCAGTGGTTGTAAGAAAAAAAGGACTTTATATTTCTACCATCTAGAGTTGGTTCCAGCTCAAAGAGATATGGATGTTGAACATAAATTTATGTGGAGCTTCCAACTCTCCGGCTTCATTTGGGACGATTTTCTTGCTGCTTCTTAAAGCAAATTTTTAGCATAAAATTTTTAATTTTTGTACTAAAAAGTTGCTTTATGAAACTGTAAGAAAGTTGTCCCAAACAAAACATCAACTTCAACATTTAGACATTGACAATCTCATAAATGTTCAATAAACGAAGCAAAATTTATTATTTCTAACATTAATCATAGTACGAAAGCAAAACAATTTCATGGCATCAAATTCCTAAGGGCCTGCCTTCCCACTATGGAATATTGACGCCTAAAATTCAACATCAATGAAATTTTGCTACTGATTAGTTCTGAAGTTTCATTGTTGACAAATAACGCCTTGGTATATACAAAGTCCTCTTGCAAATGAATCAATCATGGCCATCATAGTTCAATTTCCATGTGACTAATGGTCACAGACCCTGCAACGAAATTTCAGATAAAGAAGGAGAGTTCATCAGCTATGAACTCTACTAACAGCCTATTCTTAGCGTTTTCCCCTCTTCTTTGAATTCATATTAACCTTGAAAGCTTTGAGAGGAGAAGAGATTCTCCTGATTTTGGCTGAAGCCCATCTGAACTACAGTCCGGAGGTCATCGTCCCAGAATGTGCCAAGCTGAAAATTAACATCAAAGCAATATAAATGTCAAAAGAACGGTAAGAGAATTACTTTCCATGGTGAACATCTTGTGGTAAGAGTTTCTACCTGACACGCGGTGTCCGCGAAGCCCTCGAGAGGAGGAAGCTGCATGGTAAGGTTTCTACTTAGGTTTGGCTGGCTGAAGGGGTTCACTTGGCTCTGGAGCTCGAGGCCATTAATGGAGATCAACGGGGTTCTCTCAGGCAGGTTCGCAAAAGAAAATGAGCTTGCAGTCGCCTCCAATGGGTACACTGGTTGTGGTGGCAGAAGCCCACAGTTTTGATGAATCTCCATCTATAACGATAAGTCATTTTAGATTAAAAAGAACTCATATTTTGTGGCAAATACAAATATAGCGTGGTGGACCATCTAAGCTTACATCTTTGTTGACAAAATTTTCCATGTTAAAGTCTATCTGAGGATTTACAGTGGCAAGCTTCATAGAAAGGAACTGAAATAGAGGCAAAAGTCAGTTGTACAGCCATTAAAACTAAATCTTGAGCTTACAAATTGCTGGATAGGTACCTCAACTTGTCGTTGTAACAACTGTACGTAGTTAATAATTTCATCAAGCATTACTGCCTTCCCTGTCACCTACGATGTAATAAATGAAAATCAGATAAAATCAATACCAAAACTAAAATTTTGGCCATTTCTGCACTCCATAAAAATCAAACTTTAATTATATGATACCTTACTGCAACCAGGCACAAGATCTTGTAAAAGTTTCATCCTTTCACTAATCTTCTCTCTTCTAACCTGGTAAAAATTAAGTTCAGCAGCAGAACAAGGTGAGGATGATAAAGGAGAACAGAGCGGCAATGGCTGTCGCTTACCCTCTCTGCGAGGCTATGGCTATCAGTGGCTTGGCCTCTTCTTGCTCGCACATGAATGTAGTCCTTCACTGCCTCCGGTGGCTTAGCGATTTTTTCTTCCTCCATTTTCTTGGAGGCGGCATCCCCGTCCTGTCTAGCTGACTCCTCCTCAATTCCAGTTTTTTCTGAGGGCTTGCTTCTCTTTGTATTCAAGCCTCCTACTGATGCCTTCTGCAATCCAATAACTCTTCAGTTCTCTAGGAAATTGAATGAAATTCATATAAAATAGTGTACTTTGGATAAATTCAAGCAAACCTTGGGAGGGTTGGTGACCGCAGTGATGGAGGATGACAAAGGAGCCTCCTTTCCTTTCCCTTTCATCACCGCCTTTCTTTTCTTTGCATTACCAGAACCACACGACTCCTCCGGAGCATTTCCTAGCTTCCCGACCTCCGGGAAGATAAACTGTTCTCCGCCATGGCTCCCCCCTCCACTGCAACCAAAGGTTGAACATCTTGCCGCCCTTTCAACGAAGCCGGGGTCAGCGGAGAAGGGCATATGAGCTGGATTTGGGAAAATGGAGAGATTAAGTTTGGGAGGGGAATTCATCGGAGTACTATAGCAAGAATTGTTGGCGCTATGGTAGTGAGGAGAAGGCGCGGAGATCTCGTCGGAGTTGCAAATGCTTCCCAGCCGGCCAATAAGCTCGCGGATTACCACACTATCACCTCCTCCGGGGGCGGCCGGAGGATTAGAGGACGGTGAAGAGACAAGAGAGCTGAGGGCCGAGCCAAATTTGGCGCTTTGATCTATCGTTTGGTCCCAAACGATGTTGACATGACCGGAGTTCATGTTGGGAAGCGAAGCAGCGGCATCAGGGGATCGCATTTGCCAGTTTATTACAGTTGAATTGCCGAAAAACGCCTCCTTTTCCATGGACAAGCTGAGAAAAGAGCAAAATGTGGAAGAACTAGGAAGATAGATTTTTTGGCGAGTTGGGAAGAAAGTGAAACAAAGGGAAAGAAAGGAAAGAGTAAGAGGAAAGGAAAGGTAAAAGGGTGAGTTTTGAAGAGGAGAGAAGGTGGAGGACAGAGAGGGAGAGGAAAACGGGAGCTGTTGACCTTTATCTATATATAAAATGCAAAATGTATTTCTTTGTTTATATAAAAGAATGAAAGTAAATTAAGTTGGGAATGGTGTCACTGCGTCGGCGGTGAGAAGATGCCGGGCCTTGAACGTCCAACTGAGCCGTGCCTTGGCAGTTGTATTGTAGTCCTTTTTGGGGATTCGTTCACCTTCTGCAATTAGTGAAGAAGAAGAAGAAGTGCAGAGAAGGAAGGGAGGGAAAGACAAGAGGAAGAGGGAGAAGTATCTGAAAAAAAAAGTATAAGACTATAAGAGGATACTAGAACAGAGAGAAAGCAGGGGAGCTTCGAAAAGTTTATAGAGAGGGAGTGGGAAGAAATAAGCAGGCATTTTCGAGGGAAATTTTTTTTTTTCAAAAATTTTTGAGTTAAAATTTTGATAATGACAAGTTTATTTTTCGCCAAATTAAATTCTTAATTTTATGCAGTCTCTGATTAGAAAATTAAAAAACAAGAAGGGAAAATGATGAAGACACTTGTCAAGCTATAAGCTTGCCATCATTCAAATTTAGCTCTAAATATCTAAAAAAAAAATAAATCCTTTTTTATTTTTTTTTCATTTGAAATGAAAATAAAAGGAAAAAAATTGTCAGGAGTTTCTTATTCCTTTTTATATAAAGAGTAAAATAAATTTGCAAAATAAAAATATTTGCTAAAAAAATATAGAATGAGATAATTTTTTTATTTGATAAGTCATGAATTAGAGTTTCTTTTGAATTACAATAATTTTCTATAATTATTTTATAAATATTTATATAAATTACAAACGACCACTAAGTCCATTTAATATTATCTTGTATTATATAGGTAAAAATTATTAGACGTGTCTAATCATGATTCTTTTATGAACTAAAGTCAATAATATATTTGCATTATTTTATATAAACAATAAAATAAAGATTTAATATATTAAATTGTAATTTCATAAATAAAAAATTATAGATTAATTCATAAAATAATCAAGGTCAATTTATCTAATAATTTCTCCACCGAAAAATTCTCTAATCGAGAAAAAACTCATAATAAAATATTAAAATATTTTAAACTTTTTTTGACATAAAGATCAAAATGATCTCTCCATCTCCTTACTAAAGATCAAAATATTCTCAATTATTTGAATTTTTATTTTAATTTCTTGATTTTTTTGTAATATGGATCAAAATGACTTGAAAAAAATTTAAATTATCCCAATTTAATAAGGTGATCAATCAAATCGATATTTTTATATAGTTGAAGATTATTTTAGCCTTTTAGAAAAAGAAAAAAAATCAAATTTGATCTTTTTCTCTAATATTTGTTATATTAAAAAAAATATATTAAATATGAAGTTATTGTTTTGATATGTAAATTGGATGATTTTGCAGAGATGTTAGCTTATGATCAGTGCATTGGGATTGCTGTTGACAGTCACATGGCAGTGGGTACTTATTGCAATAAACTAAATCATTAAAAATAAATTTTGGTTTTAGAGGTGGGCTCCACCAACCCTCTCTTTCTCTTTAACAAACTAATTTACATAATTGACCATTCCCTTCTGTTGGTCTAATGACTATTAAATACTATCATTTGTTTAAGTTTTTAGGTGAAACATATTTGAGAGGGCCCTCAGGTTTTTATCTATTGCAATGATTGGGGTCAAAGAAAACCCATGACTAGTAGAGGGGAAATATTATACCAAAAAGAAAAAAAAAAGTTGCTTAAGCATAATTTGCTTAGATGAATTTATTAATATTTTTTTGATTGATTTATATTATAAAAAATCAAAATAAAATTTTATGTGAAATTTTTAGGGAGTATAGCATTGCTCTCAATAGAGGGTTAAACAATAGAGCAATTAGGATATTAAAGATTTTGCTAATCTATTTGAATGGAGGCTATTATTTGTCTATTTTAGGTAGCATGTAGGTTTTGTTTATTTTGTGATTAGGTATCTTTAGGTTGTTAGATATAATAAAATTGTCATCACAAGGGATTTTTAAAGTTTTGGGAAATGTCATATTTTGAAATCGGGTGCCACTCCATTTTATAACCTTCTGAAATGAGGAAAAATTATAACGTTCAACAATCATACATTCTTAAAGTAACTCTTTTCCTAACACGCGGTTAGCAGGTAAATCCTTCACGAACATCATGGAGTGCGTAGGAAGGTCTTGGGAAGTCATTCGGAGCATGGTCATAAGCACTACCTCCCCTAGGCTAGATGCTTGTATTGTTTAATCTTTAATCACACACATTATTGTTGCTTTGGCTCATCTTAACCCCAACAATACTCATTTCACTTGTCTTTCTACATGCAAGGGGAATTAACGCATGGAAGACAACAAGGAACCAACATATATAAGCATTAATTGTTGAATCTAACCTTATGGGAGGTCAATGGTTGGTCACCTAGTAAACCCCAACCTCTAATGCATTGAATGTTGCTCTCTAATCCCCTTGAAAGAAGAGAGCAAACTATCAACCAAATAAGATACATCACAATCGTTACGACTTGGTTAACCAACTCAGTGTACCCTAACACTATATTACACTCAATGTTGCGAAGATGCTTAACATCTTAGCCTCTCCAAGATGAGGTGAAACTATCCTCCTAGGGTGAGATTAAATTAACCCCACTCCAAAATGAAGATAAACTATAAATTGTTGAAACTTGTTAATTATGAATTAGGTTGTTAGATCTAAGCTTATGTCCTAGCGGCTAACAAAGAGGGGGATGAATTGGTATTTTAAAATTTTTCCTCTTATATTTTAAACCCATAAAAATCTTATAGTAAATTTTTTTGAAAAAATTTTTCAACCACAGATCAACAGAAAATAATAAAGTAAAAAGCAGCGGAAAATAAAAAAGACACAATATTTATAGTGGTTCGGTCAAACAAGACCTACATCCACTCCATGAAGTCTCCTATTTCAGGTATTTCACTATTACTACTTAGTGTCTCTCCTTTTGCCCCCACAGCAAGGCGGAGAAGCCTTCACAAAAAACTCTCTTCCACCACTACCCGGTGCGGCAGAGAACCGTCGTTCTTTTACACCCTCCAAGTGTAGGCAAAGTACCTCTCGTTGTTCACACTCTCCAAGTGTAGGTAAAGAACCTTTTCGCTGTTCACACTCTCCAAGTGTAGGTAGAGAATCCTTCGTCCTTTCACACTTCTCCAAGTGTAGGCAGAGAACCTCTCGCTATTTACACTCCTCTAGTGTTAACAGAGAATCGGATCTCCTTGAAGGATCTTCTCACGATAAATCTAGAAGGATAAGAGAAAAGAGTGAAGTAACCAAAATTCATAAATGGAGATTCTTACCTTTGAATACCAAGTGAACCCTTCACGCTCCATTAGCAAGAACTCTCCTTCGAACACTCTCTTTCACTCTCTCCTTCAATCTCCCTTCAGTTTGCACGAAGAACAATGGACAAAAAGATCTCAAGACAGTCTAAAGTGGACCTTTTATATGAAAGACTCGAAAAATCATCCAAATATTACAAAATTTCAATTATGTGCGTACTCAATCTTCCCGTACGAACGAATTTCGTACGTACGAATAGTGTAAAAACTATTGCGTATGAACTTAATGTGCATTGGTACGAAATTCCTTCGTACCCGATCATCATCCCGTACGAACATTGTTCGTTCGGTACAAACAGTTATTTCAAAGGTTCGTTGGGACAAAAAAACAAGATGAATCACAAGTTCAAAGAACAGAGAACATAGTCCAGGGACAAAGGTGTCGATTCGTCTAGACGAACAGTTCAAACTAAAAATCCAGAGGACATCGTCCAGGGATGAATGGGACTATTCGTTTGGACGAATAGTTCAAACTAAAAATCCAGAGGACATCGTCCAGGGATGAATGTGACTATTCGTCTGGATGAACAGTTCAAACTGAAAATCCAAAGGACATCATCTAGGGACGAATGGGACTATTCGTCTGGATGAACTGTTCAAATTAAAAATCCAGAGAACATCATCCAGGGATGAATGAGACTATTCTTCTGGACGAACAGCACTTAGAAAATTTTTGCTCACCCTCTGTTCATTCCATTTGCTCCTGGAGGTGTATAACTGATCTGATCGTCTTGTACAAACATAGTTCGTCATGTACGATCAATATTAAAAATTGTGAATATTAAAGTTCTCCCCCAGTGTGTGTGTGCTGAGTTACTTAACTACAATCACACTCTCTCCGACTCAAGTAAAATAAATACAGACTCCAAGTTACAAAAAAGAACAAGCAGTATTTGATTTGAAGTCTTCAATAATCTGGAGTATGATTTTCCTGAAATGTTAGTACACACAAGAGCTAAAAAATAATTCTTTCAAAATGTGTTAGGAGAAAGTAATACTCAAAATAATAATATTTGGAATCATCAAAACATATAAGTTGCAAGAATATGAATCATGCAAATCTAAGTAGCAACTCTCTCAACATAAATCATTACCATCCTAACATATTACATGTCCCTATTTATTTATCTCATATGAGATGATGCTAAATCATCCCTCTAGAAAATGATAAATAATCATTTATAATTAGATCCATATTCACCCAAAATGAAATTGGCAGTGTTGGCAATCATACAATCATTTTATCATCCCAAATCTAAAATGCCCAACTCCCCATTTCCTTTAAGATGAGGTTAATCAATACCTTTCTAAGCTAGGATAAACTTAGCTTTGTGATCCAAGGAATACTCCACCTTATCAAATATTGCTATAACTCCTAAATAAACCACCATTCATCCCTCTCAAATGAGATTAAACTACCACTGAAGAGGAGACTAAATGAGTACCTTAACTAGACCCCTCATCTTTCTTTTGATGAGGTCAACAAGATTGATTTTCATAAAAAAAGCATCAAAGTTTTTCTCTATAGATCATATTAACCACTTTAAATGCCTCTAAAATGAGTTAAAATAAAAATATACATTGAAATGCATCCTAGATTTCAACTTATCAAGACATATATGAATATATGTTCATCCTTGATAGGTCATCTTCTAAAAATAGTGCATAATCCTAACACTAGTTCCACTCATTAAAAACATGTATATCCCCATTGGAGTCTTTTTTGCAAGCTACCAAGTTTAATGCTTAGCTTCCTAGGGAGTCATCATCCTAGCAAAATCCAAAAATATATGTCCTTAAAAGACCTACTAAAGACATGCAACTAAAATTAAATCTCTAATAAGCAACACCATGAGCTAACAACCTACACTCGTAGAGTAATCAATTATTATGAAGA